AGTAAAAATAAAAAACTGAGGCCCAGGGAGCTTCTTCTGTAACTCACCCAAAGTCGCACAGTTCGTAGGCAGTAAGTCCAGCATTCAACCCGGCCTTGCCCCCCGCACCACCAAATCACCTCAGTCCTGGGAGCCCTGGCGACAGCTGTACATAAACGTGATTAACGGGAAAAGATGACAGTTGTGCTGACCCATTTCTTTTTTCAGGTTCAGTCATTTTTAGCATCACTCGATGGAGAGAAGCTGGAACTCTTAAAAAACGACCTAATTTCCATTAAAGACATCTTTGCAGCCAAAGAATTCGAGAATGAAGAGAATCAAGAAGAACAAGGTAAAGGAAAATCATCAGTTAAAGAGCAAAACAAGCGGTTATTACAGACAGCCCTTTGGGGAATTATTTCATTCCAAGAGCTCCTCCTCCTCACTTCCAAAACACTCTGTGCACCTGCTCTCATGACAGGAGCTGACCACAGTGATCTATAGTCCTTTCTCCGGGTGGGCACTCCTGCGGGAGGCGTCTCTTTTTTTCTTTTTTTTAAGGTTTTATTTTTTTTTTTTTAAGATTTTATTTATTTGACAGAGAGAGACACAGCGAGAGAGGGAACACAAGCAGGGGAAGTGGGAGAGGGAGAAGCAGGCTTCCCGCTGAGCGGGGAGCCCGATGCGGGGCTCGATCCCAGGACCCTGGGATCATGACCTGAGCCGAAGGCAAACGCTTGACGACTGAGCCACCCAGGCGCCCCTGTGAGGGGCGAGCAAGAAACACGGATGTGCGAAGGAGCCAAGAACACAGTGCGCTCAGCATGGCCCTGATGACTAGAGTTCATGCCCTGGTATCTTAATTGTTTATCTGCATGCGGTGGACAGGTCTCTCAGTGGATTTCTCTTCATATTTTTCTTATTATATTTAATTTATACGCTTAGGAGTTAAGGTGTATTTGTAAGTGGCCTGCCCTCCGTCTAGAAAGTGCAGTCGGGGAGAGGGAGGATGTGTCAGGTTGTCAATCACTGAACTGAGCCAGGTGCACGCTCCTGATAATCCTCCAGCCAGCCAAAGACAGGACCCCCAAGGAGATGAGGACCTGTTTTGTGCGAAGCAAGTCTTCCCTGAGAGGGGGAAAAAAAAGTTTTCAAAGTTAGACATGCTTACGAATTACTTTAGGGGCACCTAGGTGGCTCAGTTGGCTAAGCGTCTGCCTTCAGCTCAGGTCATGATCCCAGGGTCCTGGGACGTCCTGGGATGGAGCCCCATGTGGGCTCCCTGCTCAGTGGGGAGTCTGCTTCTCCTTCTCCCTCTGCCCCTCCGCCCGATTTGTGCCCTCACTCTCAAATAAATAAATAAAATATTTAAGAAAAAATATTGAGGGCAATTAAAAAGAGTCACTTTATGTTGCCCATTTATTTAGGAGCAGAATATAGCAAAACATTTGCTGTTGTACATGGAGAGTGATTTCTTACCGATATCATCACGTAGCCCTGCAACCACCGTTGTTCGGGTGATGCTGACACACAAGGCAACCATGGACACACAAGGCTGGCTTCTCCTATCTCAAAGGTCCATTTGAAACATTTTCACCGCTAGCTGGCTGCATGGCCCAGAACAAGTTATATAACCTTTCTGAAACTCATTATCTACACCTGTAAAATGGAGACACGGATACATATCTCCAAGGGCTATTTGTGAGGCTCAAATTAGATAATGTATGTAAAGATATATTTTACAGAGCTTGGCACACAGAACTGCTCAAGAATGTTCTCCGGTATTGTTAAAGTACTAAAACAATGCTGGGGAAATAGTAAAGGTACAATAAACTGTAGCTTTTATTTATGATTGTACTTGTTATCACTCACACACAGAGTAGTGATCATGCACATTCATCCCATCCAGTAGCTGGAAGTGTTTTCTGCCCAGGTGTGTTGCATACCTTTAATCAAAGCTCAAACATGAGGGCCAAGTGCTTCAGCCTCAATGTCCAGGGCAAAATTATTCTAGGCATTTGCAAACTGTTATTTAAATACCATCTCCTGCTTTATCACCCATACTGACCTTATGTGCCTTCAGTTTAATGAGATTTATGCTCATTGCATCAAAATAGAAGACTGAAGAATAGAAAGAGGCCAATAGCAAAGAGGCTATTGGAGAACGATGTTTTTGAGCATTTGTGTGTTTCCGCAAGAGTCATGAAGGAGGACAGCCTTGTCTGTTTTAATAATGAGAAACTAAGACACCAGCTGTCAGAGTTCATACAGGTAGTATTATGGGCCCAAGATGAACCAATTTCCAGAGTAACGATCGCCCAAAAAGATCCAAGTTATTTCTCTTTGGTTTCATGATGCCAAAGGTAGACCTTGATCCTACAGGGTGTGTCATTCAGAAAGGAAAAAAAGAAGATCCCAGATTCCTCCTAACATCAAAGCAGTAGTGTTGCCGGTGCAAGTTAAAGCAGTATGCATCCCCAACTAGCACAATTTCTTAGAGAGGAACCTTGATTCAATACTATCAAATGGAAAATGTTACTACATATGATGTGTTCCAGTCTTAATATAGAACTTCAGTAAACTGGGATTTTTTTTTTCATATGACCAAAAAATATATATATATATATGAAGTCCTGAGCAGCATGCTTAAGAAATAGTAGATTTGTCTCTCCTTAAGTGACAGAACCCTGTTATCTCCCATAATATATCCATTTTCCCATAGGGCATCTCCAGATTATCAAAACACTATTAATTTGAATTAACTTAATTTAATAAATAAATGTCAAACACGTAAAGAAAAACCGGGAGAAAATAGCAGGGTTGTCATTAAATCAATCCAATTATGATGGAGCATGACAACTCCATAGAAGTGGAGGGATTATCTAAATGCTATAAAGAGGAATCTCATCAGTGGGGGTGAGCAGAGGAGCCAGGAGGAAAACTCTGGGAGAAACCAGAGCATTTCATCCATTTTTTTTTCTTGTAAGCATTTACATTCCTAAAAGCCTCTTAACACCTAAGTAATTCATTTGCAAGTCTTGGAAAAATGTAACAGTCATTTTTAGATAGACTCAACCTTGGGCTCCTCTGCGTTTGATAGCGTTAGCTAATGATTTGCATGTTTGTCTTTCCAGCAGCGTGTAATTTTATCACACTGCCACGGGTTTCTAATTTGGTTTACCACTGTTGTGAAGAGGTTTTAAAAGGCTATTTTCTATTTGTATTGCCTTGGTGAAGATCTGGACCATATGTACGAACCAAGCGCTTAGTAATAGGTATTCTTTGTGGCAACATTATTTATCATCTGTTTTTATCCGCTTCCATTTTTTTGTGACTTTTTTCCCCTAAAATGTGTGCTAACAGTTATTGGTGTCCTTTTCTGTTTTCTAGAACAAATGCACATTTAAAAGCTGAAGCTAGGGGTGCCTGGGTGGCTCAATTGGTTAAGCGTCTGCCTTCGGCTCAGGTCATGGTCCCAGGGTCCCGGGATCGAGTCCCACACTGGGCTCCCTGCTCGGCGGGAAGCCTGCTTCTCCCTCTCCCCCTCTTCCCTCGCGTGCTCTCTATCTCTCATTCTCTCTCTCTCAAATAAATAAATAAAATCTTTAAAAAATAAAAAAATAAAAGCTGGAGCTACACAAAGTACTTATATCCTAATTTAGGAGTGATGATTCCCAGATACTTTTAATCTCCCTATGGCTATATCTTTGTAGCCCATAACAGTATAGTTAGATAAAACTTTAGTGTTTACAAAACACTTTTACATTTGTTATATTATTTGATCCTTACAGCAATGCTACAGCTGAAATGGTGGTTTTTATTTTATTTTATTTTTTAAAGATTTTATTTATTTGAATAAGGGCACAAGCGGGGGGGGGGGAAGGGCAGAGGGAGAGGGAGAAGCAGGCTCCCTGCTGAGCAGGGAGTGAGATTTAGGGCTGGATCCCAGGACCCTGGGATCATGACCCAAGCCGAAGGCAGTTGCTTAACCAACTGAGCCACCCAGGCGCCCCAATGGGTGGGTTTTATTATCCTAAATTACAGGAGGGCATGGAAGCTAAGAAGACCCATGACTAGCCCCAGGCCACAGATTCTCTGAATGCAGGAGCTGGGGTAAAACCCACACCTGCCACAACTAAGTCCGGGGCTCTTTCTGCCCTGCAACATTGCCACATACAAAATAAGAAGGACCAGGTAATTTGGGAACAAGACCTTGTCGATGCCGCCCAGATGTGTCCCTACCCCGTCTTACTTTGCCCACCTAGAGAGGATAAGACCAAGACCTCTCAACTTTGTCTCTCTCTGTTTCTCTCTGACTCTCTAGCTCTCCATCTCTCCTTTCATGTAAGTAGGCATTAGCTAGGCTAGGTTCAGGTATCACCTCCTCCAGGAAGCCTTCTCAACACCCCTCTGAGGACAAGATGAGGTACTGCAAAAGCCTCCTCACTCAGCGCACTTACCTCTTTGGGTTATAATGATTTGCTAGTGTTAGCTTCATCCTGAACAAAGACAGCCCTCTCCCCGCCGCCCCCCGACCCAAGGCACACACCTCCCTGCCCCTGCTGCGACCACTCTGCCTCCCTGCTGTCCCTGAGCCAGCCGGGCACATTCCCTCCCGGACTTTGCATTGGCTGGACATCTCTTCCTGCACCCGATCTGGTGTTGCTCACCCCTCTCCTCCTTCAGGTCATTACTCAAATGGCACCTTGTCAGTTGCCCTCTTCCTTCCCGACCCCCAGCCGTCCCTATGCCTCTGCCTTGGTTTATACGTCTCCAGAAAACTTATCATCCGACATATATGTTTTACTTCTCTAATCTGTTTATTAATCTGTCTCTCCCCTGAGAATATGTGGATTCTAGGTGATGATAAAATGATGACGCCAAATATTGTGAACACCTGCAGGTTACCCTGGCTATCTTCACGAGCTGCTAATTAGCCATTTTGTCTGTACAACAGGAAAGGGCACATACACACAAGTGTTAAATACAGTTTTTCTCACGTGGCTTAGTTTTCCCTGAAGCTACTGCCTTCACCCACTGACGTAAGCCAGAGTATTTTCAGATGGTGTAATCAGGGCAGATCAATGATGCTTTTATTCCTCCCCAAACTGGTGGTAAACCCATTGTGGAGTCAATTCTTTAGCACTTAGAAACTTTAAAATGGTTTCAACCCATAGATATAAATGAGAAAAAGAAATAAGATTATAACTTTTAAAAATCTCTCTTTATTGCCCACCAATGATAGTGCTTTATTTTTATTTGAGGATATATTATGCATAACATGACATATGTGATATATATATTATTCTATAAGACATAATTTATCAACAAACTAATAAATACTTACAATAAATAAATAATATTTATTAATAAATACTAAGTATTCATTAAACACTTATGTTCCAGGCACTGTTTTAGATACTCTGGATTCAGGAATGAGTAGAAACAAATAGCATGTCTGTCCTTAGGTAGCTCCCATCCTGGAACGAAGAATATTAAGAAGTATTATAGGACCAATAGGTGTCCTTGGAAACCTTGGGACATCTCTCCAGAGATACAGTGTCGTTACATCAGATAGTGTATGGCCCGTGGAGACCAGTTCTGCTCGCTTAGCATGGTGGCTCTGTGGACATAAAAGGGTGTCCTGGGTATTATTAGGGTTGCGATGCTAAGCACAACAATACTCCAGGTCATAAATACAGTGTTGTCCAGGTCTTCTAGACCTGAGATACATGATTCATTTGTTCATTCAATCACTCCTTTCAACAAATAGCTGCTGATCACCTATAGTTGTGAGCGAGACAGATACGTCCCTCCCTGTCCTCATGTTGCCTTCAGGCCAGCCTGGGGGCACCCCAGCTAGAACTTCGAGCAACAAGGCTTGGGCAGCCCCTCACGCAGCAGCAGCTGGTTGCCTGACTGTCGTGCTTGTAAGCCAGGGGGTGGGGAGTGGGGGGCTGCTGCAGCCCCCCCACTTTGACTCTGACTGCAGGCTGTAAGGTCAGGGGAGCTGCCACATTTTGAAGGATGAAAAATAAATCATGCTTCTTACTTCTGTCATTTTCTATTTCCAGCCTTAGAAGAAAAGGGAGAAGAATTTGCTAGCATGCTTACAGAACTTCTCTTTGAATTACATGTTGCAGCCACGCCTGACAAACTCAATAAGGTCAGCGCTGTCTATGTCGGAGTTTTTATTGTTGCTGTTCTTTTTAAAGGAATTGGTTGTAAAATTTAAGTGATCCACCTGAAATGGAAAAACCCCAAGCCCCAAATGGCACATGAGGGGAGGAGAGTATGAGGCCGGTAATTAAGATCCCAGGAGGCCACACAATGAAATGTGTTGGGAGAGAACAGGCAAGACTGTGCCATGCTAAGACCTGCATTTTAGTTGCAACTTAACTAGTAATTACCCTGTGACCTTGATCAAGTCACTTCTCAAGACAGAACAGTATATCGGAGCAGTGGGTACCTTCCGCACAGGGGAAGGACAAGGGGTGCAGAATCACCAAAGGGCTTTTTCAAATTCCATCTCCCCTATCCCCACTGGGGTGATGTGCCAGAATCAGGCAGAGAGAAGCCCGCCAGCCCAGGCAGCCACACATCTCCCCCCACCCACCCCGAATGCCGGTGCCACATGGTGTCCAAGAACGATCCAGCTTTATCACTCTGGCTTCTTCTAACTGTATGTTTTGCAAGTTAGTATAAGGTCTTGCTGTGGAGGTTCTTAATGAGGACACTCATTATTAATTACTTAAAACTGTGTTATTTTTCCCATTCGCTCACTCTCTTTTTCTCCCCCTTCTCTTTAGCAAGCAGTAGGGAACGCAGGCCCTCACTTATCAAGGTGGGTGAGGAGAGGACAGGATGAAGCAGTGAGGGGGAGATGTGAGTAATTTCTTTATCTCAGATAGAGGTCACCGATTCTGACAGGTCAGTGACTTGAACACAGTGGGAAATTGCCTCATTCATCTCTGTGTAGCACCTGCCCCTGCTTAGGGAGAGAGAGAGAGAAAGAGAGAGAGAGAGAGAGTGTGTGTGTGTGTATGTGTGGGGGGTGCCTCCAAGGTCCCACCGGCTTATTGACAAAGTCAGGTGAGCTTTAAAAGGAGAAGCAAGTTTAACGTAAACCCAGATACAACTTGCACTTAAGCAAACAGCTTTAAACTATAATGATAAAAGCTGGGTGAGGCTGCCCTTTCTAAATTCAGGGAATAACAGGTGGGGAAGGGAGGTCGTTCTGCTTGGTCAAGTTAGCCATAATTCTTTTCGGCCACAGGTTGCTCCACCTGCACTCATGTGAAATTAAACTAGTCACAGAGCAGTCCCGGCTCTTCAACAACAGCTCCCATCCTCCCCTGGTGTGACTGGGCAAGAGCCGAGCCATCCTTCATCCTCCCTGCGTCATACGTTATTAGGTTCATGAGACATTAAGGGCTTCATGAGACATATCAAATGAGGAAATTTGCTTTAGCAATGACCCTGGCTAAATCCCTCGCCTATATATGTAAAAAAAGTACTATTATTCTCTTACAGTTGGTCATGAAAAGTGAAAAATATACTATCGCTCTTTCAAGGTGACTGTCTTTTTCATTCTTACCCATGTATCATTTTACAGTGCTCTTTAAAAACGTCCTGCAGTGTTCTCTCCGTCCTTCCTTTCTGTTCTGGCCCCTTGCCTTACTTTATATTCACCAGAAAGCACCAACAAGGTGTTTTTAAGGAGACTGAGGAATTGCCCATCAACGTTTTGAATGCAGAGAGAACCACCCGGGAAGGTGGAGGGCAGCGTTATTCTAGTCTTGGGATTGAAATGTCTTAGTCTCCAGATTTGCATAACAAAAGCGTTGCTTTGGTTGGGCCGGGGGGTGCTTCACAGGCCATGAAGAAAGCTCATGACTGGGTAGAAGAAGATCAGACTACGTTGTCCGTAAATATGGCGGAAGAGTTGGAGAACACTACAGAGGAAGAAAAGGAAGAGAAACCAGAAAATCCCATAGAAGACAAAAAGGAAGAAAGGAGAACTAAGACAGTTGAGGTAAATTTATTTATTTAATAAATTCAGGTTGGCCACCTGAGGAGCAGTAATAGGACTTTAATTTTATTAGCAGCTCAATTTCGAGCGAGGAGAAACCACTTCATTTTCATTTGCGCCCTGTTTTAACAGCATAGAAATATGAAGATTAATGTGACAAATACTAAAATTTTTCAATGCCAGGACAATTCGTGACTTAGCATAGATATTGTCGTTTTTCTCCAGAGCTTTATGATGATAATTTAAAGGAAAAAAGATCTTTAAGAACATCGTTGATTTATTATTAGGATAAAATTCCATCTGATATGCAAATTTGTAACTATAAAATGTCCTTATGCCCCATAAACTAATGAGGTAATTGAAGCTTTTTTCCAAAAAAAATTTCATGGCCACAGTTTTTATTCTGTAGTTTAATAAATTTATGTGTGCATAATTTATAGCCTGCCTGTGTTCAAAAATCAGTTTGCCATAACTTCATTTTTTACATTGAATTTTCATTTTAGAGAAAGTAACTTTTTTTTTCTTTAAGATTTTATTTGTGAGGGAAAGAGACTGATGGGAGGGAGGAGGAAGAGAGAATCTGAAGCAGACTCTGAGCTGAGTGCAGAGCCCGATGAGGGGCTCGATCCCACAACTGCAAGATCATGACCTGATCCGAAACCAAGAGTTGGATGCTAAACCGACTGAGCCACCCAGATGCCCAAGAAAGTAACTTTTTAAACTCAGTCACTGTAAAGAGAAATAGCCATTGAGGTTTATTTATTCAGTTGCCCTTCCACAAGCATTTTTGAACCCCTGCCTGGTGTGTGCCCAGAATTGCTCTGAGAACTAGGGACACAGCTGTAAGGTTTGCCATGTCCCTGGGGACCTGGCAACACTTCCTTTTTATGGCAGCATTTCTACTTAGAAGAGTCTCAGATATGCCCATTAATCTTTGGGTAAACTTTTCAGGCCATTTTTTTTTAAGAATTATATAATTTTTTTTGACATTATAGGGTGGTGGTGGTGTTGTTGTTAAGTAAACTCTACCCCCAACGCACGACTCCAAGATCAAGAGTCACATGCTCTATGGACTGAGCCAGCCAGGCGCCCCACATCACAGGGTTTTTTAAAAAGCTTCTGCTCAGTTAATAATTGTCTTACTTGCATTTATCTGTTTCAGGAAGTATATATGCTGTCCATCGAACGTCTGGCAGAAGTAACAGCACGCTGTATAGAGCAGCTTCATAAAGTAGCAGAATTAATTCTTCATGGGCAAGAAGAGGAAAAACCAGCTCAGGACCAAGCAAGAGTTCTGATAAAGTAAATGTTACTTTTAATTCTTATGTTTCAGGTTTTACGTATATGTGCCATTCAGATGCACGCACGTGCACACACACCCCCCCTCCGTAGGCTACTAACGATTTAAATTACAAGTCAACTAATTCCATGGTTCTGTGGTCATCTTAGGAAATAGACTCTCTTAGGACTCATAAGATTCTTAGCCGAATCATGTTAGCAAGAATAATAATAGTTAACTAGGAATTATTTATGAAGAGATTTAAGGAAAGACACACTAAATCGTTCAAGGGTAAGTGTTTATTTTCATAGATCGAAGTCTTAGAAGTACAGATTTTTAAGGTAATTGCGTTTTTAACGTACCACAAGAATAGAGAAAGAACATCTTTATGCGACTTCTCAGCCAGCTTCACAAAGATATTCCAACACACCCCTGCTGTTCCTAGGGACTTAAACCAGCACAAATCTCTGCGTATTCTGAATACTGGCAGTGATGGTTGGTGATGTAAGCCAGTTCCCTGTGGATTGCATGTATGTGCATATGTGCTGTCATATGTTATCTTCTTCAACAAATAGTACCCCCTATTATTAGTTTATCCAGTAAAATAAAAATGTGTATCGATGTAACTTTATGTACGTGAAAATAGTCCGTATGGAACATATATTAAAATAGTTGGTATGGAGCTGAAAAACAAGCCATTGACTTTACCCACATGGCTTTATGCGTGGTATAGAAAATTAGCACAGATCCGAACACCTTCTCATTACTACACAGACACAGGAGACAAAATAGAGCCTCCTAAAAATATATGGGTACACACACACACATTGCAACGCACCCATTCACTTTGCTAGCTAACTAGTCTTTGCTTATTACTGCATTTGGCATCGTAGGTTGGGGAGCAGATGTTTCATCGAAGAACCTTCCAAAAAGTCAATATTAGCATCTTTGTACTGCTGGTAGCATTTCTCCTCACTTGTAAGGATGTGCCATCTAGTCTAGATTTTCCTACCTAAACATGGGAAAATGAAAGATATTATAAGAACCACACAATCCTGCACTTAATAGAGTTAGGAAAAATATGTACTTACCTTAATGTATAAAAGCAAGAGGAACGGAAAAAGTAGGAAAACTTTAAAACATCTAAGTGCTCTTTTATATTTGTGGTACTTGTTTGTAAAGGGAGGGTGTTCCGAAGTCCCTAAGTATGTATAGCAGGACCTTACTGTCAGCACCTGTGATTCCCAGTCCAGATTATCCCAACCTCACCAAGCTGCACCGAGCAAAAGGTAACAAGACTTCATATCTGTCTGTATAATAAGTGCCTTTCCACCCACCTGCCCAAGGACATAGACAAAATGCTCTGGGCTATCCCTGGACCTTATTCCCGACCCTTTCTGCAGATCAGTTTTGGAAGGCTAGATGGATGGAAGGAATGGTGGACAGACAGAGCTCAGCAAATACATACATAACTTAGAACCCCTATTTATCACAATAAAGCTTACCTCTACTGATTTCACTAGATATTTTAACATGTAAGATTCTTGACTTGGAGTTATTGTTTTTCTAATAGCATTTTAACCACTATTCGTAAAAGTCATATATATGAATTATAAAAGAAAACAGATAATACTCACATCGTTACGTTAACTGGATTGTTTTCGGTTTTTGTCATCAAAGCAATGTTTGTTAAATATTGCGCCCGTCTCGCATTATTTTCTTGGGGAAACTCCTTACAAGTCAAATGGCTAGAATGAACTTGGAGTTTTGATATAAGTCTTAACAGATTTTATAGGATCTTTATTATGAGGCATCTAATAAAAAACATAATCAGGAAACCAAGAGACATCTGAGTTTGAATCCCAGCTCTATCCCAGCATGCCCTAAGCAAGTTATTTAACCTTCTTAGGGCACTGGCTGGCGACTGGATCTCGGGGTCATGAGTTCAAGCCCCATGTTGGGCATGGGGCCTACTTAAAAAAAAAAAAAAGTGGCTTAACCTTTTTGAGTGCCAGTTTTATCATCTATGAAATGGGGATATTAACGTAATCCATAAGGTCACTCTGAGGATTAAATATGATTATTCATATAAAGGTACTTAACAGGGCGCCTGGGTGGCTCAGTGGTTAAGCGTCTGCCTTAGGCTCAGGTCATGATCCCGGCGTGCTGGGATCGAGCCCCATGTCCAGCTCCCTGCTCAGCGGGGAGCCTGCTTCTCCCTCTCCCTCTGCTACTTCCCCTGCTGGTGCACTTTTTCTCTCTCTCTCTGTCAAATAAATAAATAAAATCTTTAAAAAAAAAAAAAATAAAGTACTTAACATGGTACCTCAGTGAATGCTTATTATTATTTCAAAATGACCAGAAAGCTAGAGAAAAGCCACTTGGCAAGAGGCTTACACCTCTAAACATATGGAGCTCAAGCCTCAGATTTTCCTGCATATGCTTTTGATTCTAAAAAGAAGTAGGATGAATTAGGTGATTATTCATTAACTATGCCTGCAGAGAAAACCAGGATTCGATTCAACGGTGATTGTGAATCATGGAAGATTGTTGAGGAACCCATTTCTACAGAGCATCTTCAAACTTGTGTGTGTTCTTTTAAATGGAATGCGGTATCAATACCAGTCATTGTCTTGATGGTTAAATTATTTTATCTGATGGAAAATCCCCAAACCACTTTTTTTTTTCTTTCAGATTAACTACTGCGATGTGTAAAGAAGTGGCCTCCTTATCAAAGAAGTTTACGAATTCTTTAACCACTGTTGGGGTAAGTTTCTAATATCGACTCTTTTTTCCACCCTTTATGGAAGATGGGTCTGTGAGGAAGTGTGGGGCGAAATGCAGGTTGCAGTGCCTTCTCTGGTAGCTCCATAAACGGAAGCTGCGCCATGACGTCTGCTGAAACCAGACCAGGAGCACCTTGTCAGGGCAGGCAGCCTCAGGCTCTCACCCGACTGGGTTCTAGTCCCCTGACACTGCCGTCTCCGACTTACAAGATATTAGGTGGGTTTTGAAACATCTCTGGGCCTCATTTTCTTTATTCGTTTAAAAAGAAGTCAAAGACGCCTCAGTTGGTTGAGCATCTACCTTTGGCTCAGGTCATGATCCCGGGGTCCTGGGATCGAGTCTCAAGTCAGGCTCCCTGCTCAGCGGAGAGTCTGCTTCTCGGTCTCCCTCTGCCCCTCCCCGCTGCCCAGCTCGTGCTCTCTCTCTCTCTCTCAAATAAATAAATAGAAGTCAAATGGAAGTTCCTTTCATTAATTAATATCTGTGACCTATAATTCAAGAATCTCTATTAAAATAATTTTGAATACCTGCATTCACTGTTGCCCTCAGAACGTGTCGTATATACACCACCCAAGGTGAGAGGTTACTTTATTATTACACTTCAACTGTAACCAAAAGAAAAAAATCTTACCAATTCGCGTTGTGTTTCTGTTCTCAAGGGAACAACTTTGAAAGGTTCAGTGTTTGTTCGGAGGTGTGGCTTCTGGTTATTTTCTTCAGAGACCAGTCACATTATATAACCCCACCTTAGTGGCATCAGGAAGACAAGTGGAAACTATTCCTTTTTAACCTTCCTACTGTTTCTTTTAAGGCCCTGAACTCAAGGGCAGATCTTGCCATGAGGAAGAGCGCGTTCGATTTCCTGTGTTCGTCGGGGCCTGTTTTTCGGGTACCGCAAGCTATGTCGCGTCCAGGTTCCGGAGGTGGGCAGGCTGAAGGCAGGGTGTCGGAGGCACACACTCTCTCAAGGAACCTCTGCCAACTGCCATGGCTCCAGGCATTCTTTGGCTCGGGGCAGCCTAACTGCAAGCTCTTTCTCTGTCTTCACATCATCCTCCCTCTGTGTCTGTGTCCAGATTTCTCTCTTCTGATAAGGACACCGTTTGTATGGGATTCTGGTATGACCGGTGTGACGTCATCTTGACTCAGGACATCTGCGATCACCCTGTCTCCCAGTAAGGGCACGTTCCCATGCCCTGGAGGTTAGGACTGCACTATCTCTTTTCTGCGAGGACTCAATTCAGCCTTTAACAGGAAGGAACAGAAACAAGCTCTACATAATCGACCCAGAGAAGGGACTTTATTAAAGGAGGTGGAGCAATGTGAGCAGCTGTGGGGACCCAGCACCAGGATACAAATACCCTCTCTCTCCAAAGTGTTGCCATTCATGTGACTGAGTTGTAGCACTTCCCGACCCCGTGTCTTTCCATTCAGATTGGGGGTTCGTGAATGAGAAGGCTGCAAGGCTCATCAGTGCGGGTCACATGTCCACCTGGTATCACCTGTAGTGACTGGGGCAGGATCATATCATGCAGACCTACCTGGCTGTTGGGGTGCACTTTCCCCAACCCCCTCCCTGCCAAGGCCAAGGGCAGTTCTCAAAAGAAACGGAAATGATTATAGACCAGTCAGCAGAGATGTGACTTGACTAATTAGGGCTGAACTACCGACCACCTATTCATTCTGTTGTCAAGGAATCTGGTTTGCTTCTCCTATTTTGCAAAGCATGAGCTTTCACACTTGTATAATTTAGGGGCTTCCGCAGTAAGAGCTTCACTGTGTAGGAAGAGTGAAGGGAGAGAGAGAAGTTCATTGATATGATAGGCTTGATAATACGCATTTGTGTGCTCAGTGTTGTCTGAGTAACAGACACCCGTGGACTGTGGTGTAACTGCCAGGCTTACAGAGATGTGTGAGGTCTTAATCAGGATGAGATGGCCTCAGCCACCCAGCTCCCCAAGGCTCTCTGTACCTTCTTCTCACTCTGTCCCCAGTTCACTAGGTGGGATTGAGGCCCGAAGGGGTGACCAATGCCCCCAGGCCTCTCGATTGATCTCTCACCTCCAGGTGGCTGCCCGTCAGACAGATGGCCAACTGTTTGTTTCTCTGTGGCTATCTAGTGATGAGGGTGTATATGTCTTTAGGTGTGTGTGTTATATGTTATCTATGATTTATGTTGGACATCCATTTATTTAGATTCGTGGGTAATACTCACGGTATTGCTTCCCATTTCTTTTGAACTATTGTCTTCCAGCACAGTACTTCTCACACCTGAAGGTGAAGGTACATCACCTGAAGAACTTGTTAAAATGCAGGTTCTGAGCCCATAGACCGGGAATGAGGACTGAGATTCTGCATATCTAATAAGTTCTCAGATAATAACAGTGTTGCTGATCCACAGTGTACATTCTGAGTAGCAAGGCTTTAGCAACTGGGTGTGCACCTGCACTTACACCTGTGTGCACACTTACGTATATAGTACATGCGTACCAATGTTTGTGTGCACAAAACCCAGAAGACACAGGTTACCACTTTGGAGAAAGAAAAAGCTAAAGCTAAACAGAGTTTACTGAAATGCCGTCCCATCACAACAGTCCCCCTGATCTTGTGCTAGGATGAATCATTTACATCGAGTTTCTGTTCTCTGAAATAGCCATTATTCATAACTTGAAGTTAATGAGTGCATATCGCTCTCCAGACTCCATTTAGATTGTGTGCACATCTCATTGATTCTGAAACCAACGTCATTTTATTGCCCTCATTTTGATTATATTTTAGAGGTTTATTGATAATCAAATAAACATGAAAGCAAATGCCATAATGAATTCTCTGGTTAGTTACTAAAATGACTGGGTTTTTAAAGAATTTTTCCCCAAGACTCCATTGTGGTTTCCCCAGTAAGACATACTTTGCCCTCGGTAGAGTAGTGTCAGTGAAAATGTGTTGCTCGGGAAAGATATATTTCATCTATATACTTTTGTTTACCATAAAGTCTTCTGGGTACAATAAGGAACACCAGCCTATTAAACTTGCCCTCTCTCTTTCCAGGCCCTTTAATTATTTATTGTCTAAGAGTAAAGTGAACACTTAGACTGTTGATTGATAGACTTATAGTGGAAATAATAATAATGATACTAACACTAGCTCTCACTTTTTGAACACCTACTTAATTCAGGCTCTGTGTTTCTGTGCTTTACATATATTCATGTTTTGCAAACTGGAATCTGCAGATCTGTCTGGAAGTGATATTAAATTTAATTTTGGGGTGCCTGGGTGGCTCATTCATTTAAGCATCAGACTCTTGATTTCAACTCAGGTCATGATCTCAGGGTCCTGGGACCAAGCCCCATGTTGGGCTCTGCGCTCAGCGGGGAGTCGGCTTTCAGATTTTCTGTCTTCTCCCTCTGCCCCTCCCTGCTGCCGGCAGGAAAGAGAGAATGTGCTCTCTCCGTTTCCCCCTCTCTCTAAAATAAATAAATAAATAAATAAATATTTATATAAAAAAAAGAATTAAGAAAAAGATCTTTTAAAAAATGTGCTATTTTTGCTACTGATCTGGAAGACATATCCTAGAACCAAGTACCCATGTTTGCATTTAAAACAAGAAAGAAAATAAGGCTACTGACTGGGGCTGGGACTAGGGTGGGCCAGTAAGGTACTTAACTCACCGGCAAAATTTAAGAGCTTACCCTGCCCCCAGCCCTGCCAGAAAACAAAGAAACAACATCAGTCATCTAGATAGATATTTTAATGTAAAATTTAAAAAATGAAAATGAATGCAAAAAGATCATGATGAACAAAATATCAACATTTTCAGTAGAGACAGGACCCAACCTTGTATTTGTACGACTCAGCCTCATTCACCCGCCCTGTAATCCCAGACGTGCTACAAGCTTTCAATACTTAAAAACATCTGTTTAAATTTCTAGCTATGTGACCTTAGACGAGTTGCTCAACCTTCCTGATTCTAGTTTCTCATCTCTAAATTAAGGTTATCATGGTACCTCCCTACCTACTAGGATTTCTGTCAAAATTAAATGAGATTATAGAGAAGAAGCACCAAATGTGAAGCCTGGTCTATAATAAGCATTCCATTTCTCCTCTCCTTCCTCTTTAAGAGATCCCTCAACAAAGCCAGCATATGACATTTGATGTGGCAAGCCTTACAGTATGAGCACCTAATCTGTCAATTTCATCCTTTTGATTCCACAGAGCGACAAGAAGGCTGAGGTCCTTAACCCCATGATCAATAGTGTCTTGTTAGAGGTAAGTGGCCCCCAGAGAGAAAGTGCTTCTGAATCAAAGCAAATGTTAGAGCTACTTTTTTTTTTTTTTTGTCTTTTTCCCAGGCAGCGAGTGTTATAGCAATTCTAAATCTTACCGTCAACAGTCTTTTTTGAGTACATGTGTATAGCCCAACCAGCTGTTAAACCCTTGGGTGAAAAACAATCCCTAATTTTCAAGAATTCCTGATTATAAAGAGAAACGCTAAGCTTGCACGTTATTTCTGTTGCTGTTTCCTCCGGCAGAAGCACATTTCTGCTGCCAAGTTTGACACCAGATTTAACACTGATTAGCGGCTGCAACGAGGGCTTCTTGCTCCGTGGTGATTTTTGTAAAAATGGGCACTTCTCTCCATTCAAGAGAACCTTTGGTCTAGCTGGGTCTAAGCCTCAGATTAGCAGGGTCCACCTGCTGACTGTTTAGCCTCTGCCTGTTCAGCGACCGGAGGCTCTGTCCTCAGAGACCACTCAGTCCATGGCCTGCCGGCTCTCAGGGACTCGGTAACACTGCTACGAAGCTGTCCCCAGACTGCTGTGGTCTTGCCAGAGGTAGTGACCTACGAGAGAAGAAAATAGGCCTGGAAGGCCTCATTCTTGCTGTGTTCCACCTGTGACTAGTGGAGGAAGACCTTCCATGAGGGGCCTCACTGGAAGGAATTGGCACATCTCTAGCCCCAGGGCGCCCAGCTGCAACCACAGGTGCTCACAGGTTAAGTTTGAACACAGGCAATGAATATCCAGCAGTTTTTGACATACACTGAAGTAGCTGTCAATTGCAGAGTTTGGAAATTACCAAATGCAAGTCAGGGAAGGCTACTTGTATACTTATAGTGATGTCTGTGGGAATTGTGCCTTACTGTTAAGGAAAACGACCAAGGTACAAAAGTAACAAAGCGGTGGCATCAGGTGTCACCATTTAGGACACCGCCACGCAGCGGGGTGAGGTCAACCATCAGGGGCAAGGAGGCAAGCTCGGGAGGACCCAGCTAAGAGGAAAGCCAGGCAGTCAGAGGCAGACTGTGGAACAAGAAAATGTCTCTCCCGGCCACCCAGAAGGCATCCACAGATTCACTTACTATGTCGATCATGAAGAATATGTGGTCAAATGTTGATTCATTTCCCCAGTGGGAGTTTTCTTATGACTTGGTGACCTGAAACATTAAATGGCCCCTTTGTCCACTGCTGTATGTTAGAGTACCACAGAACACGAATGGCAACATCGAATACCCAAACCAAGTAGAAGGTACCAACGTGCACAGGAGGAAGGGAGCCCTCAAGGATTGGCTGTGAATAATTGCACAATAATATCTCCAGTTCCCTTTATGGAGCCCATGCTTGTTTATTCACCTCTAGGTTAAGACACACTAGAGCTCCCTGCACATTGTGCTTTTGTGTTAGTTCAGGACAGTGGGGTTGGTCTGGGAGGAGGATGGGTACGACCAGACATGTTGGGTCATGAAGGCACACATATCAATGTACCCTCCAAGTCTATGGACATGACTTGCCTCATGGGGAGAGAATTCTTCTCTCTGTTGAAAAGCTGAATGCATTCCATCCAAAGAAATGTGTTTACATTTGCTTTAAGCACCAGCATTAAAGGGAACGTATTATAAAATACTGCGAGGTTTGAAGAGAGGGACCATTATCAGATGGGAAGAATTGTCAGGCCTGAACCCTGAAGGCAGCCCTTCAGCCTGTGTCTCCCTCCTCCCAGGGCTGCAACAGCACCACGTACATCCAGGATGCCTTCCAGCTGCTGCTGCCTGTGCTGCAGGTTTCACGTATCCAGACAGGCTGTTCAGAAGCTCGGCCGGAACCTGGCCAGACTCCATCTGGTTAAAGAGCAGAGCAGGCCACATTGCTTTGGTAATACCATTTCCGGGGATGTTTTCCACAAATCTGGCCCCAGACGCCCCTTGGAGGACTCTACAGGCAATTTTGCACGGACAGTCTGGAGAATGCAAGTTGAGAGAGAGTATCCTGTCTCTTAATGTATATGGTGGTTTTACAAATAGTTGTGTTTTCTTTATGTTAATTTAAATTTACATGGCTTTATACTGATAATTGCCTTTCATCTGAAGTTCATTCACCAATATTCATTTCCATTTTCCTGGCCAAGCACGCTATATTTAGAAATTCATGGGCAGATCCAAGACTTTTTTTTAATCCTTTAATTTCCCACCTTTAAGATCCCATTCTTTATAGTATTACTTTAAGTCAATTCTTATACCGAACTTGGTTTTGTTATATAAATATCATAGGCAAAGAAAATACTACTTATAGGTAGTATCTATTATGGTAAAAGAGAAACATAAGTATTTCTTTATAGTAACTCATTCTGAAAAGAAGATTTCATTGAGCTTCTACTGTGTGCTCACAATAAAGGAACATGATCTCAACCCAGTAAAGACAGTCACTCTAGGTAATCTCTACACCCAACGTGGGGCTCAAACTCACAACCCTGAGATCAAGAGTTGCACGCTCTACCAACTGAGCCAGCCAGGTGCCCCTAGACAAATACCCAGAAGATGGTTTAGAATAATTCTTAAAATGCTTAAAAATACTAATAAATTTTCTAAACCTTAAAAAATTTGAAGAGCAAGGTAAACTAGTGGTTTGTTTTTTTTTAAATGTTCTGCCCTTCAATGTATTATTGTATTTTTCAACATTCCCTGGACTTTTTGACCCCAAACTTTATATATGGGGTGAAAATATATATGAAAAAGGGGTACTAAAGAGAATCCAGTTTAAACTTGACTCGTTATGACCATAAGTACATGATCGCATAATTACAAAGCTTGGAGACATTCAAATAGAAAATTAAAGGGATTTTAACACAGCAGACCCCCAGACTACATCTTTCAATCTGAGGCAAAATATTCTACAAATACACAGATCACACTCACCAATGGTAAATACCATCATTGTTTCTAAAGGGCAGAAAATACTGATGTGTGGGTTGACTGACTGGTATATTGATCCATGAGAGGCTGTCGAGGAGCCTCGGAAACCAAGAGAGGCACTGTCAATGGGTGCTTCTCCTGAGCTCACTAAGTTCATTCGTTCCTTCTGGGTGGGGGTTCATATCCAGCTCCTATTTCAGAGCCCCTTCTGCATCCCTACAAGCCTCATCACAAGATGTCTTGCCCCATGGCTCTCTCCAAGGCAAATGAGGCTTGTACTTTTGTAAGGGTAAAAATCCTTCCTTGACATTTGCTTTTATTCCTCTGATGGAGTAGACTGTCTTTATCCCATCCAGGTAAAGTGGGACCATTTTAATATTGCCCTGTGTCTTGTTAGCATTTTATTCATCTGCATCCTATATTTCATTTGTGTAGCTCCTGAAACAACCAAATAGAAAACATAAGAACAATGATTTACAATCTGGAAAAGAACTCTCTGAGGAATCAATTAAAGATGGTCTTTTTTTCCTCTTCTTGATTGCCTGAAATGTTCCTGATATTAAGTCTAGAGAACAATTAACTGATGAAAATGTTGCATTTACCTCTTCGTAAATTTTGGACGTATTATGTCTAGAGCAGAGGAAAGGACTTAGATTTACAAGTTCTTCACATCAGATTTTTTAGCGTCAGATGGATTTACAGATATTAACTGGAAATGTAACAGGAACGAGTAGTTTCAAGAGCTGGATTCCCAGAAATAGACTTTAAGCCCAACTGCACCCATTTAGTTTATAGCAATATTTTTAATCATAAAATGAAATAGGAATCTGTAGAAGAATAAGAGATAATTATCCTTTCAAAATGTAGTTGACATGGGGCGCCTGGGTGGCTCAGTTGGTTAAGCGACTGCCTTCGGCTCAGGTCATGATCCTGGAGTCCCGCATCGGGCTCCCTGCTCAGCAGGGAGTCTGCTTCTCCCTCTTCTCTCTCATGCTCTCTATCTCTCATTCTCTCCCTCTCAAATAAATAAATTAAAAAAAATCTTTAAAAAAATAATAAAAATAAAAATGTAGTTGACATTATTTACGTTGCATTTACATATGTTTTAATGATAGAATATCAAAGGTTGCCAAGTAGAAACAGGCTGAGAGATGATTTACTGGGGCCGAGCCCAGTGGTCTGTTAATTAAATTATTTAAGAGAGAATAATCACTTAAAATATATCCACCCTCCAGGATTGCTCTCTTTCAATGCTGGTTTTCATGTTCACTTTTAAATAATTTCTTCTTCGCTTTCCTTTAAAACCTAGCAAAGCCCACGATCCCAGTCTGGGCAAATGTCAACCACTTACTGAATGAATGATTTAGCAGGCTTACTTTGGAAGTTTTGTATTCCTTCAATAATCCTTTACATAAATTGGTTTCATTTCACTCTATGCAATTACCCTGAACAAGTGTACCAGCTTTTTTTCTTACATCAAGTGCAAAATAAGTTCTAGTCTAAATAATGAATGTAGTCCTGTGCCTGTGCCTTATTAAATAAAAAAAACATCAAAAGCATATTTCCAATTCAAAGCAAAATGCGTCCCAGAAAAAATTGCCTTGGGGTATTGACACATACAGCTCTAAAGGGTAAAATTGAGTCCCAAATCTTAAAGCAGAGGCCTAAGCTTAAATATTCTATCCCACTGAGAACAGAATCCTGTCTTCTCTCCGGGTCTCACACTGGGCTGCACTGCAAGCTCATGTGATTAAATGAGTAGTGTGACCAGCTGAGCTGAGGCAGTGGCAGGAGCCTCAGCAACACCAGCTAAGGAACCATGGACCTTAGCAGCAGAGCTCTGAGGGGATGGAGAAGCATCGGCTTTGGGTGGGCCAAAGGAAAGTGCTAAATATAGGGTAGAAGTCTGAACCCAGAAAGGAGAGCGTTTCTGTGCTTTGTAGACGGTCAGCTGACCCAGGAGCTCACCTATCGGGGAGAGTCACCTTCTACACAGGCTGGCCACGCTGCACTTAAGTTAGAAACAAAAACAGGTGGATTTCAATCAAAGCCATCCCAGAGGTCTTGGAATTATGTCTTAGGAAAGTAATTTAGCAAAAATGTAAAATAAACATATTTCTCTTCTTTCCTAAAAAATATATAATATATGTAATATATTTATAGAGAGAGAGAGATGATAGATGATCGATAGATAAAGTGTGTGCTAAACAGATGGGGTGGATCATAATACATGATTTCAATCCATGTTTAATTTTACAAGAGCAATTATTCTTCAGCATTAAGCTAATTTTTGTAATGTGAAAATTGCCCTTTGATCTTCCTCTTAAGCACGGCCTACATTCTGATAACTCAGATCCAGACTTCAATTTGGTTTCTTAAGTGACTGTGTTTGTGAAGGCACATCAGCAGAGGACTTACTGACAATCTGTTGTAGAACTGCAATTTTGCCTTGTTTTTACAGTTGGATTAGAATTCAAAAAGCCATAGGAGTGGATCCAGACCAGCCACCCTTCATTCACATAAAAGAAAAAAAAAACCATGTGGTTCACCATGTGTTTTGTTCTTCTAGATATCTCATAACTTATTCAGGTTTGTGCTCATTTTCTGTATGTTCACCCGTAACAGAGACTGTGCTACAATATCCGCTATTAAACAAATCTGAGGAAAGACATCACTCTGTTCGTTTTTTTGTTTTGGTTTTTTTTTTGTTTTTTTTTTTGCTTAGATCTGAAAATAATGAGTTATCCTACCCTTTGAGCATCTTACCTTTAGCAATGACTAAATTATTACAACCCAACAGTAAGAAATGCAGAGATGGTGTTTCTGATATTTCTGGCATCTGGGGTCATCAACGACTGGGGATAGAAGAGAATTACGGTTAGAATTTTGTGTGGGGATTTAAGCCACATTTACCTTCGTCTGGATCAGAGAATATTTCCCTCTGCATGAGTTGTCAGCCAAAAAGCAATGGGATTATGTCTGCCTGTGGTCACTGCTGACTCACTTGACAGGCCTGTCTCTTCTATTAGTCTCAGGGGAATTCGATACTGCAAAAGAATAATATGTACATTTTTTATATGCCTCCCCTGAGTGCAGAATTTGGGGTGATTCGGAGATGATCTATCTCCCTGCCCTGGGTTTCACCGCTGGGCTTCTGGAGCTATCATTTGGAGGAAAAAGCCAGCAGAGAAGCCAAGACCAGATGGATGGAACCTTGGCAAAAAGCAAAGCTAAGCCTCTCTCTGCCTTTGAGTCCCTGCCATGTTATCCTTTTCCCCTCTCAGGATTTTTTTTTTTTTTTTTTTTTGACAGCTCCTAAGTGCCTCTCTTCCTGGATCAGCCTTTACAGTCCTGCTTCTGTTTTCCACAGCTTTTCTTCCCTTCCCCTTTCTTTCCGATGATACTACCCTTTCCCCGTTGATCTCAGAAAACAATCCATCCAAAAGATTTCAATAATTATAATTAATATGTATTTACTATGTGCCGGACACTGTGCTATTTTATGAGCATTGTCCCATTTCATCTCCATAATTACACTGCTGGGTAGATATTATTACAATCTCCACAGCCCGAATGAGAACGCTGGGACCCAGAGAAATTCTAGAATTCATCCAACGTTACACAACTAGTGAAACAGAGCCAGGATTCAAACCCAGGGCAGTTGGACCTGACTAGCCAGCGTATTTTAAAGTACTACACAGCCTCCAAACAAAAAAGAAACGTCATGTGTTATTTTTAGAGACGTCTGAACACTTACATATTTAGCTCTCTTTACACACTTACATGTTTAGCTCTCTTTACACGGTGAGGTGGATTTGTAGCTGAAAGAAAGATTTGGTTGTCAGCTTTGGTTGTTTCCATGCAACTGAGAACAAAGTGGGACTAAAAAGACACAGAATGAAGCCATGCAAGGTCACCCCTGGATGATTCTCACCCCAGGCTGGCCACATCACCTCTTCACAGACATTGACAGCAAGCAGCTTCCTGGCCATCAACCCAGCCTCCTGTCTCACAGGTGCCTTTGATACGCCTAAAATGGCTCCATTTCCTCCTCCTCCCCTGCCCCCTTCCCTTGTGCAGGGAAACCCATTTGTAAATCACCACCCTTCCTGAAAGTCCTTAACCCTCTACTACCTGCCTGGAGCATAGGGATTTTTTTTTTTTTTTTTTTTTTTTTTTAGTGTTCTCCCTATCTTAAAGATTACCGACTTATCTAGGCAGCCGTTTAGCTGAATCTT